AAAAAAAAAAAAAAAAGGACAGGAAAGAAAAAGAAAAAGAGTCTGTGGAATATTTCGGTCATATCCAGAAGCAAAGAAAACAGGATGTTGTCCTCCTCCATATCCTCACTGCGTAACTGGCTGACCAATTTTAGGTCTACATGTCAGGGCTACAGACAAAGCACAACCATGAATGCCGGGTAGCAGTGTGGGCTAGGGCCTATGTTCAGGAGAAGAAGGTCCTCTCTTGTTGGGAAAACCACCTGGGAGGTGAATGGGTTGGCAGTACTAATTGGAGAACTTAGCTGCCCCTTACTCCAGCCTGAGCCGCCTCTTCCCAGTTTCCACAGGCATTATGGGGAGGTTGCTCAGTCATAGTGCTGGGTCCTGGGAGCACCACTCAGCTTGGGGGTCTTTAGGAGCACTCATGTGTGGCTTTATGAGATACACCTGATTCTACAGACACACACCTCACTGCTCTTGGGGCATTGAGGGGCCTTGAGGGTTCTTGCATGCAGGAGGCCCCTTACCAGCTCTTGCCTCTCCCCTGCCATGGCAGCATAGGACCAAGACTTATGATTGAGTGAGTGGGCAAGGTATACTGGATGGACTTCAGGGTCAAAGAGTCTTGCAGAGATTGCTGAGGTGGTCAAATCTTGATGAGTTGTCTTCTTGAGCATACAGGAAAGTGATATCATCGTGTGGCTTTGGATTTGCCACACGGCAGCAAAAAGGAAGCTACAAGAAGAAATGAAGCTGCTTGGCTCTGCAGGTCATCCATGATCCCTTGAGGGAATCATAACTATTTCACTTCATAGCACCTGGAGAAGAAAAGCTTACCTGTCATTTAAGGAATTGAAACAACCGAGTGCCATTTGCCTGATTATTAGTGAGATACACACTAACAGTGGAGGGGGTTCTAAGAGGATTCCCAGGGGACCTACACAGCGATGGGCAGCAAGCTGTAGGAGAGAGAACATCATTCTGCAGCCGCAGCCACCCTGTCCCTTCTCATTTGTCACTGAGTGAGGGACAGCGAGAAGGTGGTCAGGATATGGGCATGCGTGCTGGCTACCGCGGTGACACACTGCCTGTGGGCTCAAGGAGGAACTGTTGGCTTAGTCTGCTGAGAGCCTGACTCCCTGCCTCACCGCATTCAGCCTGTCCTTTTGTCACAATGCTGACCTCCTTATGGACATACTACTTTGGGGCAGACTAGCCTTTCCTAGTCCAGCTCTTCTGACTCATCACTAAGAAGTATGACATGGTTTGGAAGGTACCTACCTCTCTTGCAAACCAAGAGGGGAAGGTGTGGGGCAAGGTTTGGGACATGGTCATTCTTGAAGCAGGAATAGAAGGCACAAGCAACACAGTTAAGCCCTACTGTGGCCACTGTATCTGAGATAGGATAGCTTGGGGAGGCCAGGGCTTCTCAAGCAGTTCTTTCTGCACATTTTTCCTTCATTTAAGGTTTTTTCAATTGGCAATTTTTGGAAGCAAAGATTGAACAGACTTGCCAACTGCAGTGCAATCATTCAGTTGATTGTTAGTTCAGCAGATATACCGTGAGCATCTGCCAGACCTTGGGCACTGGTCTCATAGCAATGAGAGGCTCAGTCCTGGCTGGTTCTACATCCTGGTCCTTCCAGCTGAGATGCTAGGAGAAGGTCCCAGAGTAAGCAAGAAGGGGTTGGGAGGAAGAAAGCCAGCCTCTCCAACCCCTCTCCCCCATTCCAAGTCCCTCTCTAGGGGACCTTTCCCATGGGACTTACTGTCCATCTCTTCCAGTGTCCACATGAGAAAGTCTTTGGTACTGTCTCCCATATTGTGACTTTCCAGGAGAGCTGGCTAGACTCCTATCCCCAGGGTTTTGAAACTGTGGGCTTGTCTCTGGCAGGTAATGGGGCTTCTTTGGATATAGCTGATATTCTTCAAGTCTGTGTGGGTTTTTTTTTAAAGATTTTGCAGATGAAGGTGGTGAGGCTGGAGCATCTGGTACAGCTGAAGGACCAGCGGATTGAGACACTAATGAGACCTGGGCCTGAGGAGTGAACCTGACCTTGAACCCACCTGGAGCCTCTGGCAGCCAGGGCTTCTTCCACAGTCCTGCAGTATCCTCTCCAGAGGTTCAGAGTGGGCACATATGTGGGCTCTGGGGCTACTTGTCTCAGGGGTTCCTGCTGGGTGTCAACTGCTATGGACAAAGATCAAAAGTTCTCTCCAGTCCTGTGATGGTTTCTCATTGCTACATTTGTGAGCACATGAGGCCTCAGTGTGTGCAAGATCTAGGGCTTGGGGTCACACTACCCAGGGTGGGTGGTCAGCCATGTGGCTCCGGAATAACAATCACTCTGGAGTCTGAAGAAAATACCCCTGACTGGAGCCTGGGCAAGTTGTCTGTCTGTGCCTGCTGAGCCATTCTTCTGAAAGGATGTAGGACAGAGGAGGACCCAGGAAAGTGCCCCAAGATTTGCCCTCAAGATTTTGGGGCAAAATTAGGTATAGCTGGGACCTAGGCCTGGTTGGCTATTGTAGACCAGATTTCTCCTTGGGCCCAGAACCTAGCTGCTGCCTTCTTGCCTCCAGGATGACTGCCCACCCACCAGGCTCAAGAGCACTGATGTGTCCAAGAAGCTCCCAACACTGAGAGGGGTTGCAGGGCTGCATTCTGCTGGCTTCTGTACCCAGCCATGTCGCTCATAAATCCACAAATGCCATTGGGGCAGAGCCTGGTAGGATGGACTAAAGCTCCCCACCACCTGTGTCATCACAACTTCCCTTCCCCATGGGGTCAGCTTTCTTCTGTGCTCTTGAGCTGAGCTCCTGAGGCGTCTCAGCTAGCATCAGCAGCCACAGACTTGCATCAGGATTTCAGACCTGCCTCCAGAGTCTTAAGTAGTCTACTTCCTCCCTGAGTCAGAAGGCACAAGTCAGAAGGCATGTTCCACAGCCCACCCTGATCATGAGTCACCACAACAGTCAGGAAGATGGCTTCCCAGTAACTGGCTCTGTCACCTCTGGTCAGCTGGCTGGGGCAGCCAGTGTCTGGAGCCTTTCTGAGTCCCAGCCAAGGTGGACTAGGCAGAAGGACAGCTCCATGCACCTGGAGCCCAGGGATTCCTAGTGTCAGGAATGGGAATCTTTTCCTAAAACACTGCAGAGATACCTTCAAGTTGCAGGTTCCTACACTGTCAGACCTGAAGATATCAGCCAGGAAATCCCCTGAGAAGGGCCTGGACAAGAAAGCCAAATCAACACAGGCCCAGGCAGATTCAGATCTGGCCCTGGTTGCCCTCCCCAGGCTAATCCTGGGAGCTATGGATGATCTGGCCCCCTTGCTGCTCCCTAAGGCGGGGACCGCAAAAGGCCAGCCATTCTGCTCCAGATGCTCCAGGCATGCCCACAGCTATGCACATGCATGTATAAACTCATGTATGTGTCCACACATAAAGCCATGCACATGAGGGCTGATTGACTCCTTGTAGAGGCGGGACTGGCGTCCTGGAAGAAGTAGGCTTGGAAGGAAGCAGAGGCTGTTGTGTGCACGTTGTGTTTGTGTTTACATGTGGCACTATGTGTGCATGTTGTGACACAGCATTGCTATACATGTGCGATACTGTGTGACACTGGGTGACTGAAGATATGTGACTGTGCACACACATTGTACATGTGTAGGATGCATTTGTGCTGGCCAGTGGAAGTGGCTGAGGTGGTGGCCTCAAGGGATAGAAGAGGCAGAGGCGGGGCCAGGTGGGCTGATGGATCATGGGCCCTTAGTGCAGGAAGAATATGCTTCTTACTGGTTCAGCTTCTGCTTGATAGGTCCTGTGGGTTGGGCTTGGGCCACCTGCCAGGCTTTGAAATAGAGAGACAGGTGTACCTTGGAAAATAAGAAACAAAGCCCAGCCTGGTGTGGTGGTGCATGCCTGTAATCTCAGCACTCAGAGGCTGAAGCAGGAGGATTGCTGTGAGTTCAAGACCACCCTGGGCTACATAATTCCAGGTCAGACTCAAGTACCTAGTGAGACCCTGTCTCAAAAAAACATAAACAAAACAACAACAAAGGCCAGGTGATAACACTACTGTGGTGATAACCCACCTCCTACCAAGGCATGTGTCATGCCAAGGACAGACGGTCAAACAATGAACCCTGGTCCCTGGTGCCCAGAAGCAAAGTGGTCATTCCCTAGGCACCCCCAAATGCAGGACCTGGCTTGCCCACCTAAAATCAAGTCCTGGGAGTGCCTCTGCAGCTGGAGCCTGGTCCCAGGGGTTGACCAAGGCCCTAGGGCAGGGGTGGCGAACCTGTGGCACGTGTGCTGCAGAGGGCCCTTTGTATCATTGACATCTTTAAAAGGTTAGCCATCAAGGGGCTGGAGTCCTCCTGGCACATGGAGCTGGGACACCTACCCCTACAGTGACCTGGGGGAAGCCACTGGGCCGCATTAGAGCAGAGGAACCGGGATGTCACAGGCAGCCCCACAGCAGTGTCTGCTTACAGTCATCCCCTCACAGGGTGCTAAACCGTAGATCACTACGTAGTGAGCCCCTCCCCGACTCTGGGTACGTGTTGGGGGACTGCTTCTGCCAAGCCTTGGCTTGAGCCAGCATAGACTCTAGGACTGAGAATTCAACCCTGGGGCTCACAGCTGTAATGATCCTCTGTGCTTGTCCCTGGGCGGCCATGACATCACTTGACTTCCCTTTCTGAGGTGGCATCCAGTGTTCCCTCCAGAAAAGCAGCAACTCTGTGCCCAGGAGGCTTCCACACAGGACTCCAGGCTTGGGGGTTTGGAGCCACATAGGGACCACAGGTTGCCTGTCCCTCTTTGAGCACCTGCTGCCCAAAACATATGCCCTGTCTAGAAGACACCTAGTCGGTGAGGGTGGTGGGGGAGAGGCCAACTGAGTGCTGGCTGGGCTGTCAGTGTGGGAGCAAGTGGTATTTGGTGGGGCTGCTTGTCTGGGATCCTCCTGAGGACAAGTGAATCATGAGTTATCCCCACCCCATTTCCTTACACATTTATAGCGAGCTCACTGTAAGGCCTGGCACAGTTTCAGAGGTTTCTGGATCCTTCTTTGGGAAGGGTGGGCCCCAGCACAGCCCCTTCCTTCCATGCTCGCTGTAGTCCCTCACACACATGCGCACCAGGCCTCATGCCTCTTCCCCTAAAACCCGGCCAAGACCACCTGACCTCCGGCTCTTGAGGGCAGAGCTTCAGGGACCTCAAGAATGTTTGATGTCCCAGGCATTGGGGCTCAGATTAAGGGAACTTCTAAGGGTGGCTGAAGGCCCACCATCTCCCACACCCAGAGCAGAGGCACCTGCTTCCTTGGCAGAGATCAGATGTGAGGAGGTTGCTAGGAGTCTGGTGGTTGGCCTGGTGTCCAAACCCCCCCAGGAAGTGAAGCGTGAAGTGCTGGCTTTACCACATCTCTGTGGCTGCTTACGCAAATACTGTATCCTGTTGCAGCTGTAATTCAGAGAAACCCTAGTAATATTGGGGTGAGGAAGCACGGGGCTTCAACCAACAGGACACAGCAGCTGTCATTTCCCACTCTATAGAAATGCCTCTTGTAATTTCAGGATGTGTGTAATTAGGAGCCAGGCTGATACAAAGCAGAGCGCAGCAATGCACTGAGTGGAGGCATAGGGCTGAACGGGGTTCGGTGTGGCAGTGATCTGGCCGAGGACAAGTGACACCTTAGCCTGCCTCTTGCTACCTATTGAATCTCTGCACCCCAATGGTCCACCTGTCCCAATGTTTCCATTTTCTACTGCTTTGATTTGTCATTTGCTAATTTATTGCGTTATTCCTGCTCTGTGATATAAATAACATGGAAAATCTAGAATGAATTAAGTACCTGGAAAAAAAAAAAAAAGAGTCGTCGTAACGGAAGAAATGCTGTGCCTGGAAAGGAAGGCAGCACCAGCAGGGAGATGAGTTCCCAAGCCAAAATTCCCAGATCCTTGTTCCTCACTGACCAACATGTTATTTCCAACATATCAAGCCCTTTCTTGAAACAAACTATTCCAACAGGCTCTGGATGAAATCCAGACCCTAACCCCAGGGCCAGGCCAGCAAGGAAGGATCACCTTAGATTAGAAACAAGAAGGAAAGGTGCTCTGCTCCCCACCTAAAAGGCAAACTTTCTGTCCTTGCTAAATGTATCCTAATCACTCAAAATCCTTTTGTAGAGGAATCTTGAGATGCACAAAGCTTTGAACTGAACTGCATAGGAACTCCTTGCACCTCAGGCATATCTGCAGAAACCTGAGTCGCTTCCTCATTTGAAAAATGGGGCAATGCTGGTGTACACAAGGTGTGGGTGATGCCTGTAGGTCCAGCCCCAACGCGATAGTCCCTGAGGTGGCCAACACACAGCTGCCCTGCCGGCCTTGCTACATATGGGCACAGGGCGACCCCATGTGGCCAGTCTGGTCATCCACCTTCATTCTGCTGAGTTTGAGCTGGCAAACAGGGCAGCTGTAGCTTTTCCAGTGAAAATGCCTTATTTTCCTCATTTTGCTGCTTTTTATTTCCTCCCCTTCTCATCTAGAAAGGACTGAGGGGGCTTATGCAAACACTGACATCAGCTATAAATTTTCAAGGACCCTGGGAAAAGGCACTTGGGATTCAGAGCCCCTCCAGTGTGGGCAGGAAGAAGGGAACATAAGGGTTGGTCCCCCATGGCCCCCCAGCAGCCTTTGGCCTGCTTTATAGACACCTTGCTGAAGCTGGCGCCCCATGCTCCAGGGACTACACAGGCTATTGATGCTTCACAATGACGGAAAGGTCCTTTCAAACAGATCAGTGATGGGCCGGCCCTCATGCTCTGGAGGACTCCAGGCGAGCGTTGAAAAGCCACTTCCGGCCCACTGCGGTGCCAGTCTCCTTATGTGTCTCATGCCCTCAGGGAGAGAGAGTGACCACCAAGATGGATACAATGTTTGGCCAGGGAGGAGGACTTCACGCGAGTGACTTCTGAGTGAAGACAGAAGATAATGACTGATGATTAACAGAGAAGCAACAGCCGCAAAGGCCCTGTGCAAGGGCCACCCATAGCACCAGGTAGAGGGAGAACAGAAGCCAGAGGGAAGGGTGGGCCAGCAGGTGTGGATGGAGGGGATGCTCTTGACACTACTGCTGGGACACGGTCTAGAACTCCAGAAAGTGGGATGGGGGACTCCAGGCTCAAGTTTGTCTTGGGGGTTCAGTCAGGGCATGCTGGTGTCCAGGCAGTGGACATTCTCAGATGAAAGGCAAGGCAGGGTTCTCTTTAATAACTGGGCATATACCCAGTACTGGGAGGCTGAAGCAGGAGAATTGCTACATGTTCAAGGCCAGTGTGGGCTACATAGTTCGAGGCCAGCCTAAACTGCATAGCAAGACCTTGTCTCAAACTCCACCCCTTCCCCAAAAACCCCCGAAAGCAAAACACAAATCTAGGCATATGACACTGTGTGGCTTAAACACTTTGTAACAATCTTAAACGCCCCAAGATATAAAGAAGTTGTGGAAATATGAACTGATGATGACACATTCAATGCTAAACTTGCTGTCTTGAAACTTATTTGAAAAATTCACTTAGAAGCCAGGCATGGTGGCGTGTGTTTGTAATCCCAGCTACTAGTGAGTCTGGGGCAGGAGAAACCCAAGTTCAAGCCCAGCCCAGCCACCTTAGCAACATCCTGTTTTGAAAAAAAGAGATGAAGGTGTAATTTAGGATGAAGGCTGGGTTCCATCCCCAGTACTGCAATTTTAAAAATCATTTAAAACATTAAAGATTCACAGCTGGAGGGCTGGGAATTTAGCTCAGTGGTGTCAGCAGCCTGCCTCACAAGTGCAAGGTCCTGATTTCAATCCCCAGTACCCCCTAAAAAAAATTCACAGCTGGGGTGGTAGCACATGCTTGTAATCCTAGCACTCTGGAGGCTGAGGCAGAAGGATCACAAGCTCAAGCTCATTCTGGGCAACTTAGGCCCTGTCTCAAAAACTAATAATAATAAAAGGGAAAGGATATTACTCAGTGTGAAGCCTCTGGGTTCAATCCCCAGTGATACCACCACTACCACTACTTCTAATAATAACAGCAAGAACAATAATAATAAATAGTAATTTCACTTAAACAGGACTGATTTAGGTCTAGCCTGACAGTGATAGTGAACCAGCAAGATGGCCAGAATTCTTAGAGGGACAAGTAGGCAAGACTCCTTGCACAGCGTGGGCAGGGGCCTTCAGAGTGAGTGTAGCCCCAACCCTGGTCCTGGTCTTCCAGTGCCACCTCCTAGCTTGCTTGGGGCTTCAGCTCTCTTTGTCAAGCGGAGAGCAGCAACCTGCAGACCTGAGACCCACCAGGACACCCCACCTCTGGGAAAGCAGTGATGCTGCGATGGAAACGTGCCGGTGCATGGGAAACGACGCCCACTACCAAGGCTGGGCAGAAAGTGAACAGTGATTACCTTGGGGACAAAACTACTTCTTTTCGGTACTGCTCATGATTCTCCTTAGCAATAATGCATTATTTTATAATTAGAAAAAAAATGAAAATAAAATTTCATTAAGGCACATCTGAGAGAGACATCTGCTATCGCTGTTCTCATGTGTTTCTGAAATCCATGTTCATAAACTCTGAAAAGAACGTGTGTTTAAAAAAGAAAAGATGGAAAATCAGTCAAAGAACCATCGATGTTGCTGGTGGTGCCTGTCTGTAATTCCAGCACTCAGGAGACAGAAGTAAGAGGATTGCTGTGAGTTTGAGGCCTGCCTGAACTACACAGTGAGCTCAAGGCCAGCCTGAACTACATAGCAAGACCCTGTCTTGAAAATAAAAGAACTGTTGATGTGGCCAGGTCATGTGGATGGTGACCTCACCTCATAGCCTTGAGCCTTCACCTCATGCCTTTTTTGTTTTGGTTTTTTTGAGATAGGGTCTCATACAG